TCTCTTAATTAACCGTTAATTAAAATATATTATCTTTAAGGACCTTAATCATTAATTTATGTCAACTATACAATGTTTAATAAGATTTTTAAACTATTTTGACTAATTGCAATATTAAACCCGAAATGACGCTACAAGTATAATAATTTGAAAAATAAATGAGATATTTATAAAAGACTTGAAAAATGTAATCATTTTTACAAAAAGTAGTATTTCAAAATATTTGGATTATTTTAATATTTTTAGAATGGTGTAATTAAAAGATTGTGAGTTAATAGCATGCAACTCAGAAATTTATAGTTATTTATAAAAAAATTCATTCTACATATATTTTTTAATAAATAAATCATCGAACTTTTAAAAATTGATTACTTGGATTTATTTCAACCCACAAAAATGATACATATTATAGTTTGATTGCCTCACAAATCAAGTAAGTGGAAAAACGATTTTCAAGTCACGATTTTCCTGATTTTTAATCTATCCAGATAGTTATTGAATAAATCTTTTTATAATACGTAATGATTTAATAATACAATTATTATATTGAATTTAATATGTTTTTTGGTAATATAAAAAAAATGTTTTGAATAAATAACTATTAGTATATATATATATATATATATATATATATATATTTCTTAAAAATAATTATTAAGAAAAAGTAACGATTTTTAAGAAAAAATATTAAAAGAGAAAAGAAAATATAAAATATTTTTTATAGAAATTACGATAAAAAAATATTTTTTAGTATTAATTTATTTATAGAATAAAAAATAATATTTATAATAGTATATATTTATAATTAAATAAGAAAATTTAAAAATTTAGTATAAAAAAGACAACAAGAAGACAAAAATACAAAAAAAAATGATTACATAGGTATAGGAGTGCCATTAGCCTTCCCTTAATTATCTCTACTCTCGATTTTTAACAGGTCATTTTTTTTAAGTTTGTTAGAAATTTACGATTACCGAAATAGGGTAAGTATAAATTGGAATTTAGATTGCTTAAGAATCGTGTAAGTTCACTTTTCGAATTGATATTTCGACTCTATGTTTGGATTTCATGAAATTCAATCTAAGATAATTTTCAAGGATACTTTTGAATTTAGGCACAAAAACGTAAACCAAATTACTCGAGAATATTTTGAATTTCAGATTTTCGAGAGAGTACCAAAATTRGTATATATGTCGTATATATACTTGTTCCATTCAAAAAATGGATAAAATTGACAAAAATGAAGGTTTTTGGAAAGTTATTATCAGTTACTGACGATTATAACAATTAATAGATAAGATCAAAGGTTAATTGAACATGTGAGTCCAAAACTCTCGACATACATGTTTCTAGGGATAGGACTTAAGACCAACCAGAGATAGGGCTATCTCTGGAATAGCTTGTCCAAAGATAAGAGTTCTAAGTCTGAATACCACTTAGTCGAGTTTACTAAGTGTGAATGCCACCGCTAGAGGCGGTTCCCCTTGGACTCCGTAAGGGGGACGTGGCCCCCTTCACCCCTCCATCTAACTTGTATATTAGATCACAGTTTGAACCTCATTGACACTCATCTCAATTCCAGTGACAATTAAATTGTTAGTGACACTAAAATCACCAACAAAGTTTACTTTTATTTATCACTTATGTCTTTTGAGATAAGAGATTATAGTTATAAAAGTATCTCTAATAGATAACTTATATTCTTTTTTTAGATTCAGATTATCTCTGTTAGTCCCTTGAGGGTCTACAAGATAAGTAAAACAGTTTGTAGAAGGGGGGGATGAATACAAACACAATATTTTCAAATTTAAAATATATATTCATAAGAAAGATCAATACAAATTTTACAAGACTGTTTGCGGAAAGATAAGGTAAGAAAACATATCTAAACAATCTTTAGTTACACACAGATTCTTAGCAAATGAGAAACGAAATGTTGTAAGAAAAGTTCCTTTACTTAAGCTAGAAAATGCTCAAAGTAAGAATTAGGTTAAGAGAGTGAGTTGCGCGCACTGTGCATGGAGAATAAACACTTCTATTTATACCCAGTGCATTAAATATTCATTTAATGCAAAATAGTAGGGTTAGAGTATGTGTCAAGCCTTAAGAGGAAGGCTTGTCCTTCGCTACAATGAATAATACAAAAAACACTATTCATAAGCAGACATCCTTACCTAAAGTTGGTGGGCATTAGAGTCAACTAGTCGGCTCCGTACCGTACCAACATGTAGAAGGGTATGGGTTTGTCCTTTGTGTGTATGAGGACAAGACAACAACAATCATGCTAAGTAAGCTTCCTTTGATCGTTGAATGCTGGAATAACTTGGAGGTCTATTCAGCATTCGCTGAGGCTTAAGCAGTCTTCACACATATGTAGACACGCTTGTAATTACTGAGTACCGCTTCAGATCACGTACTTGCCAGTCCCTAATCTTCAGTTTCAGTCTTCGACATTAGCTGAAGGTTCTTTGGTGTGAGTGTTATCTTCTTGAAGTATCGCTGTCTCTGATTGAATTACAATACAAGTTCTTTAGCGATCACTGAACAGACTCAGTGATGATCGCTGGAACTGAAAAGACAGAAACATAAATACAACGTACAAGTGAAAAGGGATTATCATCAAATCACTGAGAGAAAGGATCAACAATCTCCCCCTATTTGATGATAACAAGACAACATAAAGAAGGTTGTCTTATCAAATAAT